AAAAACAAAAAGACACAAATCAGCCCGAGGCAAACAACAGGCAAAACAGCCCAGTTGCATTTGAACTCGGCTGTTTTGAGGAAAAACTCGCAAAGCCCATGAAGCCTGGAGAGATCGCCCTCAAACCAAGCACCAGCGCAGCCCCCAAACACAGTAGTGCAGGGTGGAATCGAGCCTGCAAACCACCGATTTCGAACGCAACTGTGCCCCACGGAACTATAGAATCGTGCCTTTGCTGTGACAACCGCGACAGGCCCACAAACGCAACATGCAAGCTCTAAACTTGGGGCGGATTCTTTTTCTATACGTATCTCTCGGTCGCTTCGCTCCAGATTTGGGGCGTTTTGCCCTACCAGATGCAGCGAAATTGGACGCTTTGATTCATATTGATGGATGTTGGAGCAGGCGAATCAAATGATAGCGTCTTGCCATGTCCCAGCCAAGCGGCAAGAGGTATGACCTGAAGTCTCTTCAGTGGCGTCCGGCGCCCATGCACCGGAGCGCCGATTGGCGGGGCAACGCAGCTGGCTGGGTCTGGGGCGACGAGCTTTGGGTCCACGGCGGGCACCACGACAGCAACGAGCCGCAGAACATCCTACTGCCATTGCTCACTGGGCCCAGCAAGCTGCTGCGGCGCACCGTGCAGAGCATTTCTGCTACCTGGCTTTGGGATGGGTTCGCTTGTGCCTTTGGCTCATGTGTAACTTGTTGTAGAGACATTGCCACCCCTTTACCTCGCAAGGCTTCCCAATGCTAAAACCTCGAAACCTAAAGTGATCCTAAAGGAATCTTGCAAGGTTGCTTTGCGTGGAATCATGTATCCCTTCGCCGGAGGCTTTGCCCCATGAGAACCTGAAGCTGATCTTCAGCTTTATCTCTGGATCGGTGGAGGCCTGCCTCTTTTAGTGTTGCTGGCCTTCATGTGGACCAAACATGTTTTGGACCTATTCTGCTGCATGTCTTGCATGCCTCATGATGGTTGGCTTGATTCATTGGATAGTTGTGTAGAGGTTTGGGGCGCGACTGTAGCGGTTTTTCAAGAGCTGCTTGCAAGGAGGGTACCAGCAGCGATTTTCACATTGGTTCCGGGCAGGTCATGTCTGTTGGATGTGATTCAAGGTAGACTGCTTAGAAATGTTGAGTGCCCAGCATCGACGAATCGATCTGCCCAGCTTCGGTTTCAAACGCGGCCACGCCCATGCGCAGCCTGCACAGTTTTTCAGCGCCCGCTCAGGGCATGTCAAGTGGCAAGCAGCACTTAGTGCTGGCGTGTCATGAGATATATACAAGGGGCGATCAAAGCACCAATCAAAGCAAAGTGCTGCAGTGCTGCCCTGAACAGCAACAGAGCCTTGACAGCCAAAGTTTGATTGCTGTTTGTGGCTAGGCGCTGTTAGGGCGGGTGTTGTCCCTCCTCAAGTTTCGCGCTTGCACATGGCTCGTGCCAACCGAGCAAGCGCAGCTGCGTAGCTGTGCGAGGTGCAGCCTGATTTTTTTCGCAAACCGATGGATTGATCTGTCACCTCGAAGCCACACAGCCGACAGGGCGCAAGTTGTATTGAATTGTAGTTGGCAGCTATGCGCGGCCAAAGAAAACATTTCTTTTGCCATCTGGGCCTCCAGGCGTTTTGCCCCGATGAAAGGTTAACGGGGGAGCATTTGCACTTGATGCCAGCTCGCATGATGTCCGGCATGTAGACTTGCTTTGCACAGATTTGAACCACCCAGCGTGTGACGCTGGTTGACATCGTCGCAGTGACGCTGCTGCGCCGCTCATGCTCCAGCTTGAATTACAAGCAGAAGCTATGAAGATAAAGGAGCAGGAAAGCAAGCACGCGCATGCGAGTGACCTGTGATGGCCCCAGCTCCACTGTACTCACACAGGGTGCAGCATTGGGCTGAACAAAGCTGGACGGGAAAGGAACAGGTACAAAACGCATAGAACACTCAGAACGTACCAAGGACAAGGGGACGAGGGAGGTTTGTGCACAAGAAAATGGGTGAGCGCCAGAAAAGCTCAGCCATGACGCAGCCCAGGCCAGACAGAGCGACTGAATATTTGCAAGGGAACCCCTTGGTGGCAGGGTTGACATTGCGCAGTGTGACCCGCCGCCTTTTGTGTTTGTCTCGGGTAGTTATCCTTTGCAACAAACAGCCGTGACGCAACGGTGGAGGCACCATTGAATAGATGTGAAAAGAGCTTGGCCCAGGATTTGTGGATAAACGAAAAGCATGGCCTCCCTGCCAAGGGCCAGCAAAGGGTTTGCATAGAACCTGCTAACATTGGGGTGGATCATCCCAGCTAGCGATTGGTAGACGGACCTCGCTCACAAACCCAAAGGTGCGAGCTCAAGCGCCATTGACGTTCTAGAAGGCAACATCCAATGTGATGGTTCGCGTTTCTTTCGGACCATGACTCACTCAGCCTTTCCTTCCCTGAAAACCGTTGGCCAAGTTCGTGCAGATGCAGTCACTTGTTAAGCTTTCGAAGCTTCCAGTTGGAGACGTCGGAGCTCGTGGCCTGGCACCAAGAGCGCGTTTCGAGGGTGAATCGGAGAGGTTGGGACATGGGCCAGGTACTCTACGGTAAAAAAGGGGCGAGCAGACAAGCAGGCAGGCAGCCACCCAATACCCAATGTGGGAGTCAGAAAAGTCAGACTGGCATGGATTTTAGCGAGCTAGAAAAATCGGAACAGATCGAACATGATAGATATCTCGCGCTTTCTGTAATGCACTGCGAAGTTTGACCTTGGAACGTGTGGACAGGGAGCATTCCCTGCTTCGACGGTGCGCTCGTTCCTTCCCTCTAAAAGTTCATCCGCAACATTCTCAGTCAGCTACGCACTGCAGAACGAGGGCCTCCAAGATGTTGACATAAGCATTGCTATGTTCATCGCGTGCTCCGTAATCTATGGACAACTATGTGAATCTAGTCGGGTGGGCTTCTTAGGGGGCAGGCTTTCAGGCTCAGTGCAGCCCGGCCCCGCTTAGGCCACTGCTACTTTGTGCAGTTGGCTGCCTGCGAGCAGCGGCCTTTTTCTCACCGTGCCACCCTCAGCCCTAGCTCAACATGCGCCTGTCTTGCCCATTAAAATGAAACACGTGTTAAGCTGAACGGGCGTGTTTTCGATTCCTCGCCAGCCTGGTGGCACCAATATGCCCCACATCACCCACCTTCCGTTGGGCATGGCGCATGGCATAACATCATGTGTTAGCGTTCCTGGCTGCCCCTTTTCATTGGTGTCCACAGAGGCTCAGGTTTCAAGAACAAACGGTCATTCTGTCGTACAATGGAGCGGCGCAGCCCTCCACGTTTCTTGATGCAGCGGCTTTGAGGCCAGCTGCCGGACGCAAGGGCTTTGCTGGAGGCACACGTCGGCCGGCTGGCAGGCTTCAATCAGTGGATGGGAATAGCGCAAGTCAATAAACGCGGAACCCACGCTTGCAAGATATGATTGACTTATCGGGCGGAGTGGCAGCATGGAAGTTTGCCTTTTGCCTAGGGCTCGCAGCATTTTTCACCTCTCTTCACGTGGTTTTCTTTGTCAAACGAGAATCGCAGCCTTTCCCGTTTGAAGCTGAGGTCAGCAGCGGCAAGTAGAGCGAGTTTGCAGGCGGGGCTTCTTGGGAAGCAGAGTGGGCATTGCATTGTTTGTGGTGAATTTGTCAGGAAAGCCTGTTTGCTTTTGGCTGGCAGCCATGGTGCGTACTTTGGTGCTTTTCTGGAGCGGCCAGAAAGTGCAAAACTTCACAGTGTGCAAGTGCAGAGGCCTAGATGTGCTGCGGAGAACTTCTTCTCAGGCGGGGCTGAGGAAATCAATGCTGTGCATTCCATGATGTTCTTGCGAGGGTCGAATTTCAGAGCAAGCATAGCCATGTTGCCACATGCCATGCTTTACTTCCAGGGTTTGGGGAGGCGGTTGCAAACAGAGCGCGCACATTGGCAAGCGCATTTTATACCAGATGTGCCATTGTTGCGTTTTGCCTCTCCGGCTGAGATGGCGGGTATGGCTCCTTGCAGCCAGCCACACTGGCGGACTCTGGCAAAGGCACGCTGCAGAGCCGGGATTTTGTGCTCTGCCGAATCGGAATCATGTGGTTTGCCACATGGTGCTGTGGCAATGATAAGTCGCAGTCGTGTCATAGGCAGTGCGAAATGCTGCATCTCAATTGTCGGGAGTTGCCACTTTCCAGCCATAGCATTGATGCGAGTGCCATCGCGAAAAGGCTGCAATACTGCCAGCTGGCAAACATGGTCCGGGATACCTTGCCGTACGATGTTCAGTGACAGTTTATATAACTGCTGCAAAGCGCGAGATCATTCTTCGCATGGCAAAGTATGTTGCATCCGTGCTTGAAAGCTTGATGCAAGTTGTGCAAGGACATGCAGGACACGCAAAACGGTTCAGGCTGAGATTTCAACGCTTCAACGCGCTGTTTCGCCAATTAAAAACCCGTGGGTGGCTCGCGCGCATGGACAGGTGTCGCAGCCTCCATTGAGGCGGGGGGACTGCACGCTTGCAAGGAACATATTCAGGGAAAGCACCTTGACACTTTGAATTGGCAACTCTTCGTTTTGGCCAGAAACGTTTGCGAGGGTATGGGCAAACTTCCTTGTCCATGCTCTGTCGCAACTAGGCTCATGTTGCAGCCCCACTTGGAGCGGTTTCCAGCTTTTGCAAGTTGAAACTGGAAACGCTTGGCCCCTTTGAAGCATGAGAATGAAAAGCACCGCTTTCGGCAGAGTTCAAGCCTGTAGCAAGCTGTGCCAGACTGACTGGGCACGCGCCACTTGGGGCTACAGCGCCTGGAGCGGCATTCAGGCTGGCAGCATAGCTGAACTATGCGAGTTCTGAAATAATAGGCTGTTAGATCAAGTGTTTTTTAGGCTATTCTTCTTTTCGTTTTTGGTACGGAGCTGCAAAACCAAAATGCGTTGCTAGCATACCAAGAGTGGTAAATAAAGCTCAGAAACCTTTCATTTCTCAATTGCTAAGGTCAATAAGTCTTTGACAAAAGCAACCTTACAATCCTTTCCCTTTCGATCATGTGTTGAATGGGGGGCAGGAAAACATCCCAGCACATAGATGTAGGGTGAGGGCGCCCAACTCTCCATAGGGATTGTTAGTTTTGGTGGCTGCTGCAAAGCAGCCAACACCTGGTCACCTCGCTCCCTTCCTTTTTGGGAAGACCATTTTACTGGTAAACAATCAGTTTGGACTTTTTCGGGCCGTCCACGCAGGAAGTGAGCTCATGAACGTTTGAACTCTTCAAGTTGACCCGAAGTATGAACATTTGCGGGTTCCAGCTGAAAATAGCTCTTTTGCGGGGGGTGGTAGCCATCGAGGCACGGAAACCCGTCAATTCAGCATTCAAGCCATTTCCGGCAATTCACGTTTGCATTTCCGGCAATTCACGGGGAGGAACGTGAATCTACGTGAATGAGGGGAGTTGGGCTTGTGGATGGCCACTAGCTTTGGAACTGCTGCCCGCTGCCCTGATTCCAGGCCGGTATCGCTGTGGTCTCCGCACACTTCGCAGACTTCTCCGTGGCCAGTCGCCCAGCAATAGGACCACATACATTTGGCATGGAAAGCGGGCATGGGCCAATTCAACTGCAAGACTCCTGAATTGTTGCGTCTACGAGAGGCATGTAGAGAACATGTCGAGGTTGGGGGGCTGCGCACACTTGAGCTCACTTGTAATGTTTGCACTGGGAATGTCTCATGGTCTGCCACAGCTTTGCAACAACAACAAACGAAAAGAACAGCAGCAGCAGCAGCAGCAGCAGCAGCAGCAGCAGCAACAACAACGTGCAGTTTGAGATTTTCTGAACATTTACGTAGCACTTAGTTGGAGAAGTTGCGCAAGACAACGCTTCTGCAGCGACGAGGCTCCTCTGATCATGACGGCAGTGTTGCTGGCAAGATTTGTCGGATGAATTCCCTCATAGCAAGCACGCCATGGTGCCTTGGCACTGCCAGTGGCTCAGCTTGCTAAACATATATAGTTAGACATTGCCAACAAACACACCCGTCCGGCAGCAGTCTTGATTCGCATGCTGTTTCCCGGATACGTTCTGAGAGTTGAGGTCATGCCTTGCACTTTGAGCAAGGCTTTTGAGTTGCGGAATCCTTCAGTGTGCCGCTGCACGGGAGCATATGAAACAGCAATTCCGTACAAGCCTTTCGGTTTCGTGATGACGGATTGCTAAATTTGCCAACATGCAATGTGTGTCGCACGGCGGCTGTGGGTTCCTTTGCGGTGGCAGGCACGGACGCAGTTGCGCTCGTGGCAGGTGTGCTGCAGCGTGCTTCGGAGTGCTGCCAGCCGCGACCGCTTGAACGGCGGCACTTTCAGGCTAGGTGGGTAGAGCCGACCACAAGAGAGGTGTCGATGTGGCCTGAATGTGTAGCTGACGATTGCTTTGTGACACTTAGTTCAGAGATTATTAGGAGCTGCTTGCCTCTGGAATTCACATAGTTGTGGCGAGGAGTGGCTGTAGGCTTGGTTTTCTTCGGGGTCGTTGTAGGCCGTATGCCGGTCAAATACTGTAGGCCCCCACACACTTCAACAATCCCCACTTGAGTCAAACAACTCTGGACATACTTACTATGTATTCGGGGATCCCAAAATTTGTTTAGTCTTCGGGTAAGTAAGCGGCCGCTTGTTTGAACAAGCATGCGGCCGCGCAACCCGAACAGTTCGGTGGCTCGAATCATCACTGCCGGCATCAGCGCCTTTGAAATATGTAGGGGGTTGTTGTTGGTTGCTCCAGAAGACATACACGCTCCTTGCGGTTTTGACTTGTACGGTTTCGCGCAAGTGCGTCGCAAGCGGAAGCGCAAGGCCGAGGTAGCTTCATGACTGGTTACTCCAGGCCCTTGTCCATAGTGTTTTTTCAGCCCTACTACCTGCTGCTACGCCGCCAGCTGCTGTGCTTCTTTTGCTCCTGCCTTTTTTTCCTTTTCTTCCTTGCTCTTTCCTTCCCTGCTTCCCTCCGTGAGGCAAAAAAGACCGTGTTCATACACTCAAATGTGTTAAATTCCAAGTCTTCATAGAAGTTGTGTGCTCTAGTTGGGGCTTCAAAAAATGGAACCTCACGTGGCCATGCGCACCCGAGAGCTCATAAGCATGCAGCATGGGCAAGCCAGCAAACAAGAAAGCAGGACGGCAGGAAAACAGGCAGTTGTTGTTTGATTCGGCATCGTTGGCACACGCCAACTCATGAGGATTGTTTTCTCTGAGCTTTGCGCTCAGGACGTTGGGCTTGGCCGTGCTGGGAGCCAGCACCCTCTTCCTGCTGAAGACCATCATGGACGTGAGTGCCCTGCCTGCAGCGTACAGCATCCGACGGAGTTGTTTGCTAAAGAAGTGCTTTGCTTGGCTTTTTGCAGTGCTGTTTGCGCTTTCTTGTTTGCTTCTCACCACAAGGTCTAATTTCAGAATGTTTCTGTTCTCCAGACCGGCTTGCCGAGGTGTGCTTGTGCGCTTGCCCGACAGCCCAGAAAAGCATCAATGTGTAGTCGGCCACTGCTTGGGCTGACAGGGTTCCAATACACGAAGCAAATGTGTTGCAAGAAATGCGCACAACTTTTCCTAGGCGTTTGATGATTTCTAATCTCACGCGCCAGGTGTGCGACTGCAATTCTACAGGTTGTGTAGAAGGATGGTGTGACTTGTTGGTTGCTTGTTTGGTCTTTGCTTTTTGCCTTTTGCTTTTTGCATGCGCTAGCACATGGTTCATGCGTAAGTGAGTTGGGTTTTGCCTTTTTGTTGATATTTCAGACTTGCTCCTCGTGTAGGGCTGATAGTATATGGGCTGATGGTATATAGGGCTGTAAGCTTGCAGGATCCAACGGAGAATCCCGGCCCTGTTTGCTTTGCTGGGGTCATTTGGGTCGCCTTTTTTGATTGCCCAGCAGCCGCGTGACCTCACTGGGCGAATGAGGCTTGGCCAGCGCCCCGTGCCGCGCATGGCTCAGCATTTTTCACCCACAGGCATCAAACCTAGAAACAGACAGGAGAGCGCGCTGGCTCAACTTGGGCCACTGTCTGAGGCTGGAAACTGAGGGCAAGTTGCTGGCTCAGGTGGGCTGACACGATTGGATGATATAGACGGCCAGCATTTATCTTGCATTCTGATTGCTGGTTTTATGGCTCATCTCTTTTTAATTTGTCACACGCAGATTAATGCTAAACCATCTCGCCAGGTTCCCCTGGCCTTGGTGGCCTGGTTCGGTTGCAAAGCTGGCTACGGCTCTTGCCTTAGTGATTCATGCAACGCTGGTCGCACAACTTACCTCCCCGCCTGCACAGCCAATGAAGACATCAATAACCAGAGCAGCACTAGCGCGCCACAATGAACAGGCATTACACAGAGAGGCTCGGATCAACATTGCATCCACGATCACGCTTTTTTTCTGGCGGGGTCCACGAATTGTGCAACCTCAAGAAGCTATCGTTGCTCATAGAAGTTGTATGAATGTGCTAGAGCGGTTGACGCCGAAAACTGGCAACCCGACAACGTCAGATAGTCCATCCGAGGCACTCTGCACCAGCATGGTCTGCCAAAGTTTAAGCTGTCGGTACGGGCTGAGCGGGGCCAGCGCTGGCTCCTGACGCTGTTGGCAGCCGCCAGCTCAGCTTGGAGTGTTTTTTTTCTGCCAAGGAAGTGGAAGCTGTTCTTTCTGCCAACGCCGTCTCCCCACAATGTGTTTCGGAACCACGGCAATCTTGCTTTTGGCTGCTCCTATGGTTATACTCTGCTTTGTGAATCATGGCCGTACCTGCTTGAGCCATTACATCTTGCACTGAAAACAAGAAACAAATTGGACAGCAATGGGTCCATTTTACAATCTGGAGCACTGCTTGGGCCGTCTTTGATGGAAATCCGCTTCGCGGCTGGGATTGGCTGCAAGCGAAACAACGATAGCTCTGACACGAACCCATTGAGACAGGCAACAACAAGCACGATGCAAAGCAAAAGTTGTCTCTATTGGCCGGGGAAAACTGAATGAGTTGCGCCTTTTAGCTTCAGCACCGAAGTTTCTGACAGCTTTTTTTGTGTGTGTGCCTTGCCGACACCAGAGAAGCCTTTGCGCGTGCTTACCTTGATGCAACTTGCTTACCTAATCTGAGCAAGGGAAATTAGACATTGGATTGATCATATGACACCTTGCCATGTGTCGGTAGTTGCCTGCGTTAGGTTGGATATGCAGTGACGGCAGTGCACCAGGCCTGTGTCGTGCACACGTGCAATGATGACATTTCCAAATTTGCCCGGGGCAGATCCTGGAGCGAAGATTGTGACTTACTAGATGCGATAGTTGTTTCTTTCCTGACTCGCACACGTTGCGGCCATTGCGGCCCCTGACAATGATTTGGGCTGAGCCATCCGTTTAAGTCTGTGGCTTCCTGGGTTTGACTTGGCGCGCTATGCTCCGTTGATGCTCGCGGATTTCAGCGTGGCAGGTCGTTTGGGGAAGCGCGGCCCTCTTCAGCGGACCCTTTACCCTGGGAGCGCTGCGGTGCTTCATTGTGGCGGCCTGTGCCCACGTGTGCCCGGCAGCTCAACCTGACTGAGAGGTTTAGATAAGCGCCTAGGGGAGCGAATGAGCAAGATATCGTGTTTGTGGGTTTGTTTGTCTGTTGCTGTTGTCATTTGCATTATTTTCTTTCTGTCTTTCTGTCTTTCTGTCTTTCTTTCTTTTTTTTTAGAATTATTTCTGTTTTTTTGGTTGGTTGGTTGGTTAGTTTGGTGTGTTTGTTTGTTTGTTGCGTGCTTGTTTTTTGTTGGTTGGTTAGTTTGGTGTGGTTGTTTGCGTGTTTGGTTTGTTTGGTTGGCCAGTTTGGTTTGTTTGTGTTTTTTGTTTGTTTGTTTGTTTGTTTATTAATTGCTTGTTTGTTTGTTTGTTTGTTTGTTTGTTTGTGTGTTTGTTTCTTTGTGTGTGTTTGACGAGTGATGTTTGTGTGTGTGTGTGTTTGTTTTGTTTGTGTGTGTGTGTGTGTTTGTGTGTTTGTTTGTTTGTTTGTTTGTTTGTTTGTTTGTTTGTTTGTTTGTTTGTTTGTTTGTTTTTGTGTGTTTTGTTTGCTTCGTGTGTGTGTGTGTCTGTGTGTGCATATTGCTCGTGCTTGCGTGTGGTGGTTGCTTCTTTAGGCCCTAGCTTCAGGTTTTTGGGTGAGCCAAGTTTGTACACACACTAGCTGGTTAGTTTCAACACAAGGGTTGGCCGGCCTGTTTAGGTTTGTTTGTTGGTGTGCTATTCTGCAAGCCCAAAAGAGGCTAAATGGTCTTTCAGAGAGACCACAAAAGAAAGAAATAAAGAAAGAATGAAAGCAAGAGAGAAAGAGGGATGGGGGGAGCGCAAGATGGAGAACTCGTTGCTGCGGGCTGGCCAAATTTGATTGGCATGGCGCGCAACCATTCTGAAAGTGAGCAAGTCATCACAAGCACAAACAAACCCGCACAGACACACTCCATCACACTTTTCAAGCACAGCAGCCACATTGATACCTTCCAGCTCATACTTGTGCATCTTGCTGGCAGTGGTGCTCGTAGAAGTTGAACAAAGCATTGCTTGATTCAAAATGCCCGCGGGCCATGTCTCCGAACATGTCGCAGCCGGTTCGTGCTGGCATTTTGGCTGCATTTGGGGACACAGACCCGTGCTCGTCACGGTGTGAAAACACAGGGAGGTAGTCTACACGGTACTATGCAAGTCAGCGGCGCAGTGTGAATAGGGCAGTGCGTTCGCAACACAGGCTGCTTCAACCTGCATGTGACACAGAGGTCGGCATCGATACTGCTATTGTAATTGGTAGCACTTTGATCCTGAAGACAATACCGTCTCTCTCGCCAAGGATGGGATGGGCAACACTCTGGCGACGCAGTGGATAGCTACTTCAGCGAAGGAGGCATGAGTGGGAAAACGGTAGCAGCTTGTGCGGCTCCATTAGTTCGTTCCGCTTCTGGTGGAGTTTCACTGTGCCATCCTGGTGGCACAGGCCCAAGATACAGTAACGTTTGATTGTTTTGCAATGCGGGTGTTGGCAGCCCCGTGCTTGTGGAAGCAGAGGGTCTACTGCTAGGTGCGACAAGTAAACATTAGAGTGTGTTGCTGACAAGGGGCCGCAAAGTCATGGGCAGGCCCAGTGGCTTCCTACTACACTCGCGCCAAGAAGAACAAAGCTGATCAAAAAGCCGAGCGCCGGACTTGGGTGGCTCATCCACGGGAGGAAGTGGTAGCAGCCTTTGATAATTCTGGGCGCATCGGCGGGGCTGGGCGGTACACCTTCGTGTCCGGCGACCAGCCAGAGCTAGAGGCGGGGCTTCCAGAATTGTGGCCCCTCCCACCCCAAGGTGGACAAGCTTTGGACAAAACTGGCTGGAAATCAAGGGTTCCCTGGGCCGGCCCTCAACCGATCCCTAGTCCCGCTACGACAAAGTCACAACCCCAAGGTGGACTTGAACGGGCGGCTGAAAAAATGCAGCACGTGTTCCTCCTGCTTCTTTACACTCCTGTTGGCCAAACAGAGGGCTGGAAGGCAAGAGAGACTGGCAACTGGACTTTGACAAGGGTTTGTCCAGCACCGACAGTCCATCCACCTTTCGGGACAGTGAGAAGGGGCGACCAATTGGGCAGCTGCGGCACAGCAAGGACGGACAGCCAGAACTTAAGATGCTGAACACTCGCGTGGCGCACAATTACTTTACTTCGAACAATCCTCACCTAAAATCTATGCTTGCCCAACCGTTCGGGCACTAAAAGGTTGGTAGCATGCTGCTGGCTGATGCGATTGCGAAGAAGCTCAGCCGAGCCCTGGTAGCGCTGACTCCGAGCCAATAGCAGTTTTAGCTGTTTCAGTAGTCATGCTTCCTATTTTCGCGGGGATTTCCTTTATGCAAGGCACTCTGATTCTTCGAGTAGGCCTGTCATGGCTGTCCTGGTCCGGCCACTGGAGGAAGATTTAAATTCAGGACCAGTCAGACCACGCGGCAGGGCCACGATTGATTGGAGTGCGTGGCCTCAAAGATATTTGAGCCTCTCAAACCCTTTATGAAAGAAGTAGTAAATGTGCCGTGTTTTGTTCTGTGCTTTGGCTTGGAGCATTGGGATGGCACTCAATCTAGGTGGGCCAAGTATTGGGCGCGCATTCAGCGTAGTTTGCTACGGAAATCCTCATGTGTCAATCGGAAGGCGGTTATGAATGGGGGGTCCCATGAGGCGGGATTGTGAACTGAGCTGATGGCCGCATGAGGTGTGAAACATGCGTATTGTCATCCCGATTGGTTGGCAATCCAACTTTTGGCGCGTCCTTTTGCCTCATGAAACGCAGAACCCCTTCATATGCATTGGACTAGTGAAGGGTTCTCTCCACAACTTCTACATAAGAGGCGCCTTTTTCACTTGCGCGCGCAGGGGGCGGCGCCGGAACTGCCGGCAATGAGCCTGGATGGGGGCTCGGAGGCCGGGCAGTTGAAAAGTGGGGGGCAAGATATTGGTCCCCGTTGGTCGAACTTTAAGGAAACATGTTGCATGATAAACTCATGAAAGTTTCGCAAATGCCTCACACCAGTGGGTGCTTCCCAACATGTGTGTGTGTGTGTTTTGGGAATGCATGCCCATCATATGTGGTGGCCAGGGGATGAAAACATGCTGGCAGGAAGAATTTCAGGAGTACTGGCACTGGAACTCCCTGAATACGCGGATGCGGGAGGACTGGTTTGAGCGGATGGCGCACCCGCAGGTGAACTGCGAAGCCTTCTGGTACCACCCGGAGAGTGGCATCACCACCTACGACTGCCCAGCCACGAGCAGTGTCCAGGTGTCCCCAGCGGACCTGACTTTGGACATCCCGCGGGAGGGCCCCGTTTGGAACTTCACGGCTTTCGAGTTGAAGTCCATCCTTCGGGAGGGTCACGGTGAGGACTTCGGCCTAGCAGCTGAGGCGCTGGCGCAGAGAGCCTGCTACGAATTTGAGACCTGGCTGCCCAGGGTCTTGTCCTGGCACGACTACCAATACCGCTGCTTCTGGTTCTTCGGCGGCAAAGACACCGGCAAGGATTCCAAGGAATCCAAGAGCTTCTTCGGCTCGGATGCGGAGGCCTGTGCGCACGTTGGGGTAGATTTTGCTGCTTTCTCAGTTTCAGCCAGTATCACTATTCATCAATTTCACTCTTCAACGTGTGGACAAACGCGCCTTGTACACTCCTTGTGGGCTCAGCGCAGGCAAGTCGCCAGTTGTTTGCCGACGACGACTTTTTTGAAGCGTGTACACGTTTGCTGTGCCAACGCATGGGCCGGATGCACCCCATCAACCTCACCTACTTTATGTGGACGTATGCACGCGCAGGACGGAACAACCCCCAAACCGCTACCCCCCGGGGGAAATTGGGGTATATGCCGTTTATGTAGTGGCCATAGAACTGTTATAGTTGATGGCTGTGTATTCCATTCAATCCTTGGGAGCAGTGGTTTGGGGCTGGACACCATCTTGGATTTGAACAAAGAGGGCAGGGAGTTCGCCAGGGCGATCACACAGCCTTGGTTTGGATAGGCCGCGGCCACTTGCAACGTTCAAAGGCAACTTAACCCTGCAGGAATACGTCACGAGGAGCTACTCAAATCAGTGGCGGATCACTTCTGCAAAGGGTGGCTCCCCACAATGGATCGCTGCTCACTAGGCGATTGGGGCCGTTGGGAGGGGGGCTTTCCTTTATCACCTGGAAGCTGGCAAGTTGGTGGACCAGCTTCCGCGACTGTTGGACTCTGGGCTAGAGCTGAATTGAAGGCAGGCTGAAATGAAAGAGGTTTCCAGACATGTTCACATTTGCACGTGCTGATGCTTCGGTGCCTGCCAGGCACTATGGTTTGGAACTTCTCAAAGCTGGAATTCCGGCATGACAGATATTTCGAGCTCTCTGCCCAGGAGCCGGGAGTTTGTTTTGGTGAAAACCACGACATGGAACCTCGAGGAAGCCTGCTCGGCCACTGTCAGGTCCATGTCAGACGAGTCAGTTTGCAGGGGGTATGCCGATGCGCTGCCAATCCAGCTTGATGGCGTGCGGTGGTGACATGTTGGCTTTGGGAAAACAACATCTCTAGATTGACTGTTCCCTCCTGGCTTTGTGCGAGAAGCTCACCCGTCGGCCAATACGTTCTCCGCATTGCAATTGCGACGGTATGTTGTGTAGAAGTTTTAGAGTGGTGCTTTCAAATGCAAGGGGGTCTAGATGTTTGCCTCCAGATTTGACACCTGACCTGGACCTGAACTTTATCACCTGCACCTACTTTGCTACGAGAATCCATTGTTTTGATCCTTTGCCAGCTTCTGTTTAGGCAAGATCACTGCATTTGTTCAGCTCAATTAGGCCATTTGCCTAGTCGGGATGCTGCAGGAACTGTATCGACCCAATCGGCTTCGCTCTCTAGCACCGCGGAACTTCCAGAATAGCATGCGGCTTGACAAGAGAAGACAAGGCGGTGTCTCCTCAAACACGTAGACTGCAGAGGGGAATCAAATGAAAACATGTTGGCACCGCCTGCCTCCTAGCTCGACACAATACAGTCAAGTTCTTAACATGGAGCCTAGCGGCTAACCGCAAAAGTCTAGTACATTCCAAGGGACCAAGCTCGGAATTGATGGTTCTCCGGGTAATTCCGAAGTCGACTTTTCGAGGTGTTGACTGGCATTGATGTTTCAGGGCCGGGCTCGCATCCAAGGATAGCATACAGCAAGCGCAAGCATTGGAATGCCAAGCTGATGGAAGCCTTCTGTCGGGGCATCCCGCGCTTGCTGGACAATCACGACCCAAAGTTGCCTAAGACCAGCACGGAGGTCCTGTTTTCTTACACGTGCCGGGATGGAAGTGACTTGGACCATTGGACCTCATGGTGGACCCACTAATTTGCACCGGTGGCCACGGCACAAAGCTTGCGCTTGTGTTGTCTAAATTCGCCTGCCACGCAGCCTGCAGCATGTCAACAGGGCGGGCTGCAGGTTGACACCCCAAGCCGCCACGAGCTAGCGCTGCAAAATGCGATTCTCATTGTTTGCCAACTAGGCATCCACATGCCAAGTTCCCCAAACGCTTGAACGTGGGTCGCTGCTTTGGGCCACCAGTGCTGAAATTGACAGTTTGTTCGTTGGCCTTGTTCATTTTGAGTTGCGCTTTGGTTGTATGGTTCGCATCAAGATACCACGCACTATGACTTCGACAACAACCGCCACACAGGGAGTGCAATGACTTGGGACCCACACCTTCCTGTGCTTGACCGGTGGTTGGCACAAAGGCCGGGCATAGCAGTAGCTCAGGTGAGGTGCCAGCAGATGCCTTCCGGATTGGCTCCCTGACTGTGATTGCCAAAGCCTTCCATGACCTCCGTGCACGTGGTGCTGCTGTTCAAGAGTGCCTGCGACCCATCTGAACCAAGGGCCCGAAGCCTGTTTCAAGGCAAGTCGGTCCCATTGGGTTTGCTTGATGCTGCTTGGGTTGGGGCGCAGGAAGTGCAACTGTCGTTGATGAACAACCGGTTGTTTGTGGGCTGTCCGCTGCCTGTGCAACCCCTGTGGTGAAATGTGGCGAAGTTGGTGATGGTCACTGAGGAAGTCTATGCTGGACTACGTGGTGCGGAGTGTGCAGCGGTCTCCCCAAATGATGCGAGAGCCGGGTGATGCTTGCAGTTTCTTGCGGCAGCTAGGCCAGCACGCTTGTTTTCAAATCTTCGGCGGTGTTGCGCGTGAAGCAATGGTCCGTGTTTTGACTCACCGGTAATAATCGCAAACAAGACGCATTACATCGCATTACTCCCGTGGCTCGGGGCTGCTGCCCTGGCCCTGGCAGGCTTCTATGCAGCTGAAAGCGGGATGGACTCCCGGTGGACATTGGATTGTGAAAGTTGCGCTGGGCCCTTGCAGTCCGGACTTGACGGTCATTTCTGGCCCGTTTGCCCGCCAGTTCCGACAGGGCTTTCTTGTCAAGTTGGTGATTTCAACCATTTGAGCCACGTCACCCTGTAGTTGTCATGATGCAAAGCGTGCCCCGTGGACTCGTAGGCCACCTGTTTGAGGGTTAGAAAGCTGGACAGGCAAGGGGCATGTCATGGTCTGCTGAGGACCTGTCGGGATGGCAGCTGGAGCTCCAGGACGCGCCTGCATGGGCCGTGGCAACACAAGCTAAGTCATGTCAAAGGAGCCTTGTGCGATGCCATGATTTAATTCCCCAATGACGTCCAGCTACGGGGTCTCAAACTCTATTACCTGGGAAGTGCCCGTGCAACAATCGGTGTCCCCGTGGTGTCCCGGCGGGATGCCGGTGGTGTCCCGGTGGTGTCCCGGTGGTGTCCCGGGTCTGTGACGTGGTGGTGGTGTCCCGATGGTGTTCCGGCTGTGTTTTTGATGGTGTGACGAAAGTTAGGGGATCAAAGAAAATTCAGATTCCGCCCCAGTCTTAAACAACCACAAACTAGTCGTTCACCTTCCGAGAAATCAAAGTCTTTGGGCTCCCAGAAAAGCATGGTCGCAAGGCTAAAACTGAAAGGAATTGACAGAAGGCGCCCCAACAGGCTTAGCTTCGATCAGCGCAAAGGTGCGATATTTATTTCAAGTGGGCGGGAGTCTGGAGACAGACAAACAACAGGGCTGGTCCTATCACTTAGTTTGTTCAACACTATTTTGGCACTGCATTTTTGTTGCATTTCCTTGTCCTGAATTCCAAGGGAGCTGAGCCTTTGGCAGGGGGAGTTTCGCTGGTGTTTGGCGTCACCACGTAGCACCGGAGCCTGGGCATGCGCTTGAAGAAGGGGTTCTGCTTTGTTCCAGGACGCTCGTAAGGGCGCTCCGGAAAGAGCAGTTGGACAGATGGAGGCGGGGAGTTCCGGGAGAGCGCAGAATCCCGTTACTCGCTGCTTCATGACCAGAAACGGAAGCTGAAACACTCGCATCACTCCCGTTTCTTCCGCTGCCAATTCGGAGGCTGCACTTCGGAAGGCTGGAGTGGAAGTGTGAAGGCTGAGGCAAAGACTGCCTCAAGCAAAGATGTTCTGCCCGCAGGCCGTCGGATTTGATGGGCCTGTTGTCACAGAAGATGTTATTTAACATTATTCACAGTAACAAAAACCAAATAACTTCAGAACCATTTTGTTTTGCTCCTGAAACGTGGAAACCTGACAGCTCTGCCACATGTGCCGCGCTCCAAAGCAAAGCAGGGCGTGTGGAATGTACAAAGCAATGATCAGCTGGCCTCTTTTGATGGATGGCGGGTGGCAAAATACACGATAAAAAGGTCTGCCTGACTGACGGTGTTGGGGGAGCTTTAGCCAACTTGCTTGTTGCAACCAGTCTGAACTGGGAAGTGCACAATTGCTTGTCAGCATGGCAGGAAGTACATGCCCGGATTGGCAACGGGATTGCTGAATGGGCGCCTCTTTCCGTGAGAAGCCGCAGAAGCTTGCATGTAGTGATTTTGACATGGTGGTGCGCTGTTATCGGGAAAGAG